AAAATTTATAAAATTCTAAAGGGAGCTTACGGATTGATTATTTAGTCTTAGATGCAAGATTTTTTTATCAGTTGTTAGTGGCTTTGAACTAGCTGTCAGTAACTGCGAGTACTCTCAGATTTGTACTTAGTGTCTTTTTGTTGTTTGGATGTACAACTACCCGACCACGTCCACTTGTATTTGTATTTATCCATCTGATGAGTTTAGCCTCTTTCAACTGATTTTTATAGTTCTTTCTTATATTGTACTGTTACATCACTGTCCCAGGTTAGGGAAGGGTTGGGATCCGGCTAACATGTTTAAGCCCGTCACATTCTGTTTGTACATGTATGTGCCTGTCCCAAGTCAGGAGCCTATAAAAGTGTAATTCAGAGGTTGTCGTTTGTTTATGTGTTGCATATTTGTTATATTTGTTCATTTTTTTACATAAAATAGGCCGTTAGTTTTCTTGTTTGAATTGTTTTACATTGTCATTTCTGGGCCTTTTATAGCTGACTGTGCGGTATGGGCTTTGCTCATTGTTGAAGGCCGTACTGTGACCTATAGCTGTTAATTTCTGTGTCATTTGGTCTCTTGTGCATGTGTGGAGAGTTGTCTCATTGGCAATCATACCACATCTTCTTTTTTATATTTACATCAACAGATATAAAAAATTCACCAAAGTCAAGGTGAGACAACAAAACTTAGTTGTAAGATCTCTGAAATTTTTTACAGGGTACGAGTTTTTCTCATTGTTGGAGATTGTACGGTGACAGTAACACCTGTAACTGCTTAAACCCATTTCTTATGCACTTTAGTTTGATAAACTCACTGAATATCATACCACATCTCCTTATTTTTATATGCATTACAATTTACATGTGCATGTAATTGTAAATATATATATATCAGAACAAAATTCATTGCGTCACTTTTATTTATGCATCCTTTGGCACAATACAAGTTCTAAAATTACACAACATAAAACAACTAAATGTTATTTCAGATGAAAGTTTTGTTTCAGTTCCATTCATAGGATTTATTAGAATTTTGTATGTTTTGCCAAGTCCAATAATTCGCTCTATGTGACATAGAGACATAGTTGACTAAACCACCAGGTGTCGAACATTCAAGAATTTTCAGTGTTTCTGTTTTTATTTGATGAAAAGGTTGCCTGAGCTCTAGGAGCTTTAGGTTTTATCACGGGATATTCTGTGCTGTCAATAATAATCCAAGTCGTAGGAAACTTTAATTTGAAGTTGGATGGTGAAAAATACCTGACTAAACCACTAGATGGCCAAGTGTTAGCCTCACACCACTGTTTAGACATAAAAACAATCCATGTATACACAATATTCTTAACACTAGATTCAATCTAGAATCTAGACAGTTCAAAGTTGGTTGTATGATGCCTCAATTTCATCAAAGTCATAAAAAAACTGATTTTCAACTGACACCCTATCAATTTGAAAATATATGTATCTCAAACAATGTACTGCTGGACCAAGTGTGGTCAAAACAAATAAAAATTTAGTATACAACTCTAAACCGGTATAAAAATGCATGGCTGTGTCACGTGTCTTCATTTCAAAATTCTCTGCTGAAAACATAGGCATTGATGGTGTTTGCGTAATTCCATCTGTGAAGCTCAACATTAGCTCGGCAGTTGGTGGTGGACAGTCATAAATCCTTTCTGCAGTATGAATGACTTCTTCAGGAAAACCAACTTTACAATCAAAACTTTCCTCTAGATTTCTACTACAATATTCATCAAGTTTAGTTCTTTTGTTTTCACAGGAAACTGCCCTGATTTTTCTTTTTGTGGACGATTCAGTCTCTTGCTTGGTCCAGGAAAATAGGCTGGGAATTGCAGTAGACTTAAGTCTCTGTATGGTGGGTTTGCGCCCTGAAAAAGGTTATAAAACATTAGTTTTTTTATAATTAAATGAAATTCCATTAGCAATGTATACTTTGTACTACCTGGCGAAATATTAACTAGATTTATTCATTACAATCTGGATAAAACTATGTTTGCCTGATTCAATGTATGTTATGTCAATCCAAAGGACAAACAATGAGAGACTTATGCAACAAACGTACATTGTTTGTACCTAAATAACTATAATATAGATGAGAGCATGTCATTATTTTGTTCCTGTTAACATTGTCATTGATATTTTTCAAGAAAGTCTATGAGGCATAGCTTATGCATTCCTGTCATTACTACATTAGCATAATTACTGCTAAAATAATTCTCAGTATGATATACCTCTTGTAAGAAATCATTATAATTGTAGCAATCACCAAAAAATCTCAAACAGATCACATTGAATCGTAATCCAAAAAATTATGACGTCTTGAATTACCCACCCCCTTTTATTCTAAAACGATAATTGCGGTTGTAAACAGACTTTGGTTTATTCGCATGGCGATTACATATATAACTATATATTTCACAAGGAAAATAGAGTTTTACCATGAATAGTTTCCTGCACGTAGTCTTTTTCAGTAAAACGTGCCTTGCAAACAACAGCTGACTGAGATGGACTCCACGATATCATCGTGTTCTCGTCCAATCTGCGTATGGGCCATGGCGTTGATCCAACTTTTCCTTCTTTTTAAGTCATTTGGAAATGCATGTCCTCCTCTTAAATGACATCCAGGTACACAACAACAAGTACTTGGCATCGTTAATTAAAAATATAACTGAAATAGTTGCACAGTGCAGAAACCGGAAGTAGAGGAACAGGATCCGCTACCACGGCGCCACCTATTCAGGAACGATAATTTGCTACTTTATATAACTGCGAAAATAACGTTAGACGGGTTCACGTGCATAAACAGAAATGCGCTTTAAATTGTATAATATAATTCATGTTCAGTCGACCTTTAATTATTATATCAACGACTGAAATGATTTATAAACATCTAGATTGCAGATAACACTCGAAATTAACCCGAGCTCTTTCTTCACGGAATTCAAATAATTCTTGTTTGTCAATCGGTTGACTGCTTATAATGCAAAATACTAATATATCAAAAGTTTTTAAAACTAACAAAACACAATGATCGTTTCTCTATTTCCCAATGTAAATGAAATGAAACAAAAAACATTTTATATCGCAATAAGAAGAGGAGAGAATTCAACATTTCCGGATCTACTTGGAGTCTAATGACCCCCCACGTAGATAAGTTGGATATCGCGGAAGGAAGGATTAACCCGGCAACTAGAAAGGCATTAAAGCACTGCCTTTAAAAACTAGATCCTAATATAATACTATCATATTATGGACAGGATCAGAGCCTAACACATCATGTGTCTTACATAACTATAACAATAATTTCATAATAATTAAATATTATTTTATATATTTTGTATCCACCTGGATCTTATTTCTAAACACTTAATTATATAATTGCCTAGGCACATAAGAGTTGGTAAATGCTCATTTGTGAACAGCCAGAAATATTTTTTATCCTTGGGTAATTCTTTAAGATTATTACAAAAACTGTTTACTTTATCCCATAATAATTTTCTCTGTTCGTTATATAAAGGACAACTTACTGTGAAATGGGTCTCATCTTCAATAGAATTTGATCCATGTGATAGGCAGTGATGACATAGACGCTGACTTCTCTCTATGTATTTTTTACTATATCTATCTTTCTCAATTTTAAGATCATGTGCACTTATTCTCAATTTACATATAGCTCTTCTTATATTAAAATCTTTAATTGATAAATAAGCCTCCTTTACGAAGTCAGTCTTGAGGTTGAAATAATTTTCTAATTTACTATTACCTTGTGATAAGGTATCAGATCTTTTGACCACCCAAAATGTTTTAAAACTGTTACAAAGTTTACATTTTACAAATTTAATTAATTTATTGAGCTTTGTATTCAAATTTTGTATATCAAGTGATTGAAGGACATATCTCATAGATGAATACCAACAATTAATGTTTCCTGCATCTAAAATTTTATTACAAACATAAGCATCATAAAGTAACCCATCGTCCAATTTGTTAAGCCTGTGTACATATTTTACCATAGATATAATGACAGAAAAATAAAGAGGAAATCTTGCAACCTCTGATAACACTGCCAAATTTGAGGCTTTTTTATTTACACCAAGAATATATTTTAGATACCTGAAATGTGATTTTTCCAAATAATCATTTATGTAAATTAATTCAAATAGATAATCACTTTTTTTCTTGCAAGCAGCAGAGTTAATCTTAAAGGTACCCCAGATTTCACTACAATATAATAAAATTGGTTTTATTGTGTGATCATATAAATGGATTGCAGTATCAATACTTGGATTACAAGCTGACATGGATTTTTGTAGTTTAAATTTTGCCTTTAAGGACTTTTTGAATAGCTCTTCTTTCCCCTGCTGAAAAAGACCACTAGAAGTAAAGACTATCCCTAAATATTTATATCTGTTAACACATTCTATAGCCTCATTATCTAAACAAAGTGATTCCTTCAAAAAATTTCCAGGCTTGTTAAAAATTAAAACTTTTGTTTTGGACAAGTTTACAAATACAAACATGACAAAATAGAGCTGCTTTCAAGGCAATTCTAGCATTTTTTTCTATAAATTTTCAAGGGCATAAATCTAACAAAATATAACATCATTCATTGTTAAGTTTAAGATTTAGTTATACAAAAAGCTTTTCTATGAGTAGAAAAATTAAAAAAAAAAGAGCACTGAGGTCTTCCATGGCAATTTTTTATATTTTCAATATTTCAAAGACGTTTCCTTTTTCTTAAAATAGTCTGTTCAAAGACATGTGAAAGAGGCAGTATCTACTATTTCACAAAATAGTTGGACAATTTTATTCAAGGAAATAGTACATTTTGTATCTAATATTAGAATGAAAGGTCTTTCGGTGCTAACATTAATTTATTTACCTGATAAGTTATGTTTTTTTATCAAGCTGAACTTTTATTGCTACGACAAAAACTCTAAATATTTTTCATGACAGTAATAAAAATTATAATATAAAACTTACTGAAATGCTGGATTTTCTGTCATTTCTGGTGTGATATCTTCAGGTAATTGCAAGCTTTCTGAAATAATAAGTACAGTCATATTCAATATTCTGTGAGAATTAAATAGATCACTATTCAATAATGTCAGTATCTCAGCTATTTCTCAAAAATTATATTACTGTATTTCTTTCTGCTGCCAATAGATTACAAAGACTGAAAGAAATTTCAAATTTTGCATTTTCAACCTTAAAGTAAATTTGACTTCAGATTTTTTGAAAAACTGGTTAAAAAAGATTCAAATACACCACTGAATGAACAAATAATATCTATTACCTAATGTATTTTTAAATTACCACATTATCCTACTCAATGCTTCTCTTTGAAATGATAATTGCCAATTTTTTATTGTTCAAGACATATTCACACATAGTTTTGGTGTTCTAATATATTTCTTAAGGTGTAGTCATATCTATGAATCTTAATTTATAATTGTACCTTCTAATGTCTTCATAGCATTTGGTTTATATCGAATACAGGGTACAAAAGGTCTATTCACATTGTCAATTTTGTCTTTAAATCTCATCTGAGGTCGCTGTATATTACGGGCTGTCAACAATCTGTAACTGGACAAATTACTTCCTTGACCAGGTGAAGACTGGAAAAAAAATTTTAAAAAAGCTTTCAGCATATTTTGAGCTAGGTACAAATGTATAAAGAGTCTTTTTATTGCATAAAATGCATTGGCTTTAATGATATAAAATCTTTTAATTAGGAAACTCTGTCATACAAGTGAGAGGTTTAGCTAGCTATAAAATCAGGTTTAATCCACCTTTTTCTACATAAGGAAATGCCTGTACCCAGTCATGAATATGACAGCTGTTTTCCATTCGTTTGATGTGTTTGAGCTTTTGATTTTGCCATTTGCCAAAGGACTTTTTGTTTTGAATTTTCCTTGGAGTTCGGTATTTTTTTTTATTTTACTTTTTCCATAACCTGTTTTTTAGGGCTATTCCATTAACTAGAGGCTTTCAAGAGCCTGTGTCGCTCACCTGATTCTACTTTGGTTTTGGAAATCATGTAAAAATAGATTAAAATCATAACAGATACCCTAATAATGAGTGAGGCCAAATTTGGTTTAATATTGGTCCTGTAATTTAATAAAAAATCCTGGTGGCCATCTTCAACAGTAAATCGGCAACAAAGTAGCAACACTTAATCAGCACCTCATAAGAAACATTTATGCCATGTTTTGGTTTCATTCCATTCAGTGCACCTCTAGAAGAAGCATTTGTATGTATTTCCCATAGGGTCTTATGTTAAAGGAAGTCCCGCCATTGGCGGCCTTAATGGATGAAGGATCAGCTTCAAAGTAACAAAACTTAGTCAGCATCTCATAAGGAACATTCATGCCATGTTTGGTTTCAATTCATTCAGTATGTGGTTCTCTAAAAGAAGACATTTGTATACATGTATTGTCCATAGGGTCCTTTGTTAAACATTGTCCCCATCTGGCAGCCATCATGGATGGAGGATCAGCTTCAAAGTAACAACACTTGGTCAGTACCTCAAAAGGAACATGCATGCCATGTTTGGTTTCATTCCATTCAATGGTTCTCTAAAAGAAAACATTTGTACGTATTTCTCATAGGGTCCTATGTTAAACTAAGTCCTCCGCTGACGGCCATCTTAGATTATGGATTGGCTTCATAGTAACAACACTTGGTCAGCACCTCATAAGGAACATTCATGCCATGTTTGGTTTCATTCCATTCAGTGTTTCTCTAAAAGAAGACATTTGTATGTATTTCCCATAGGGTCCTATGTTTAACTAAGTCCCCCGCTGGCTGCCATCTTGGATGATGGATCAGCTTCAAAGTAACAACACATGGTCAGCACCTCATAAGGAACATTCTTGCCATGTTTGGTTTCATTCCATTCAGTGGTTCTCTAAAAGAAGACGTTTGTATGTATTTCCCATAGGGTCCCATGTTAAACTAAGTCCCCTGCATGGCGGCCATCTTGGATTATGGATCAGCTTCAAAGTAACAACACTCGGTCAGCACCTCATAAGAAACATTCATGCCATGTTTGGTTTCATTCCATTCAGTGGTTCTCTAAAAGAAGAAATTTGTACGTATTTCCCATAGGGTCCAATGTTAAACTAAGTCCCCTGCTGGCGGCCATCTTGGATTATGGATCAGCTTCATAGTAACAACACTTGGTCAGCACCTCATAAGAAACATTCATGCCATGTTTGGTTTCATTCCATTCAGTGGTTCTCTAAAAGAAGGCATTTGTATGTATTTCCCATAAGTCCCATGATAAACTAAGTCACCGGCTGGCGGCCATCTTGGATTATGGATCGGCTTCAAAGTAACAACACTCTGTCAGCACCTCATAAGGAACATTCATACCATGTTTGGTTTCATTCCATTCAGTGGTTCTCTAAAAGAAGACATTTGTATATATTTCTCATAGGGTCCTATGTTAAACTAAGTCCCCTGCTGGCGGCCATCTTGGATTATGGATCGGCTTCAAAGTAACAACACTCGGTCAGCACCTCATAAGGAACATTCATACCATGTTTGGTTTCATTCCATTCAGTGGTTCTCTAAAAGAAGACATTTGTATGTATTTCCCATAGGGTCCCATGTTAAACTAAGTCCCCCGCTGGCGGCCATCTTGGATTATCGCTCGGCTTCAAAGTAACAACACTCGGTCAGCATCTCATAAGGAACATTCATACCATGTTTGGTTTTATTCCATTCAGTGGTTCTCTAAAAGAAGACATTTGTATGTATTTCCCATAGGGTCCTATGTTAAACTAAGTCCCCAGCTGGCGGCCATCTTTGATTATGGATCGGCTTCAAAGTAACAACACTCGGTCAGCACCTCATAAGAAACATTTATGCCATGTTTGGTTTCATTCCATTCAGTGGTTCTCTAAAAGAAGACATTTGTATGTATTTCCCATAGGGTCCAATGTTAAACTAAGTCCCCCGCTGGCAGCCATCTTGGATGATGGATCTGCTACAAAGTAACAACACTTGGTCAGCACCTCATAAGGAACATTCATGCCATGTTTGGTTTCATTCCATTCAGTGGTTCTCTAGAAGAAGTTCAAAATGTAAAAAGTTAACGCCGACAACGGACGACGCCGGACGAACGCCAAATGATGTGAAAAGCTCACTTGGCCCTTCGGGCCAGGTGAGCATAAAAAGAGGTTCTAGGGTTGGAAGGCAATTTTTAAGTACCCCCATGACCAAGAGGAATGTACTATGTATCTTAACACCAACCAACAGGAAGTTGTTTCATGATAATACAAGAACCAACTGGAATATATCTAACTTATTTTTTACTGGCCCTTCAAAATTGAGAAGAAATTACCTCTTGGAATTGAAGATATATGTATACTCTATAAAAACATCTACATGTAATATCAACATTTATTAATGATAAAGAAAATTACTGTCACATTTCATTAGATTTTGACATGAAAATTTGTGAACTAAAAGTTATTTTGAGTTTCTGTATAAAATATTTCATGCTTTTTCTTTCTTTTCCATATATCTTTTGGTTTTCAATTCTAGTGTTTATATTTCATCATCATAGATGTATTTTGCCACCTGCCTGGAATTATTATTTTTTTTATTGTATTTGATCGGCAAACCAGGAATTACCCTTATCCGACCCCGGAATCTGATCCGGTATTTTAATCTTCTTCATTTCCGGTTTATGGCATCCATTGTTTTTCAATGTTGTTGTCAGTCAGATACGATTTCACTCGTAATTACACATTAATTGTTGGCAATTTTCAGTATAAAGCTAGCGGTTGAACAAAATCAGCATCGCTGTCATGAATAATAAAGATAAAAATAAATTTTGAGATCGTTTGGAAGTTTTGGTCCCAAATTGAAAATTGGGAAAAACGTAAGGTATTTGCCATAGCCAATAGGAATGGGTCCGGTATTTGGACCCTGTAGAATACAAGAAAAATCCCTGGAGGGGTATACGATCTCAATAGTAATATGGCTTTAAAATGACCATACTGATGATTAAAAAGGTCGGCAAAGTTAATTTTTATTTTCTTTCAAATCGAAGGTCCGTCGGGCCTAGCTAGTAATCAAAACAAAAGTCCAATTGCAATAGTGGAAGGTCGCGGACCTCGGATAATTTGAACCTCCGAATATTATTTTCAATAGAATTTGACATCGTTCGTCATGTGCTTGTCAATATTAAAGGGAAGTAACTCTTGCACTATCAGAACTGGTACCTTAGGTAGAATACAACGTTGCGCCTGCCGCTGCGCAAGTAGCGGGAACAGTTATGTTTTCCAAAATATCACGATATGAGCAGGAGACAAAAACAATCGGTTATATAAGTCCTTGCAAAAACAAATAATAATAAATAACGAAAAATAACACAATGAAACCGACAGTCACGAAAACTGACTGTCAAAGAAGACCAACAACCAACAATACTTAGTTTCTCTAAACACCAAGGGCCACTGGTCATAAATGCTTCAACACATCAACAACCAACGGGATTTTTTATAATTGCAGTCTGACCCTGGTACATTCTTCTTAATGGAGTAGCCCTTATGAAGACTCATCATCATTGTCTAATACATTGTAGTCTGCCTCTTGGTAAAATATGCAAGCCGCAATCTGTAAAACGTGTAGACAGATTTGTTTTGGTTTTTCTAGTTTTAGTCATTTATGTTTAAAATTACCATGTTTATTTTTTTCTGATATAGAAGAAGTAAATCAACAGGCCTGTTTCAAACAATAATTGCAAAACTCCTCTTGTATGATTATCCAGAGGACCCTCAAAGTTACTGTTTTAATGCCTCCAAGGAACATCAGGCTAATGAATGCTATTAATACACTTTAAGCTGTGTTCACATCTGACAGTAGAAAAAATGGATCAAGTTCAGAAGTTTTATGTTATTATTTAATAACTTTTCAGCAATGGGTATGGAGAATTCGAAATTAAAAATTAAAAATTCAACTACATATTTAAAAGATTTCTGACAAGTTGAACAAGTGCTTTTATCTAGTACAAAATAAGCAAGCGAGCGCTATCTAAATCTAGAGGCTAAATTGTTAAATAGACACAATATTGAAGTTCAAGTCATATATTGTAATTTCTATATGAAGCATGTGTAAAAGACGGACATCTTAAACAGAAAGGATCTAGAACAGAATTTTGAACGGAAGCTTTCTGACTGACACTGAGGTTCAACAAATGACCATTTAAATTTTATAGAGAATGTGTTTTACAGATGCTCTCTCTAAAATTGAGCTTCAACAAGATAGTTTTCAATTTCTACATATTATTCCTCATGTAACCATATTTCTTTAATAACTGGTACCTTTTTATTCCAGCTAGCGGTGGCATTATGTTTTGGGGTAGCTGATGCTACAACTAATGTTGTTTCTTTCTTTTTGATTCCTGATGCTTCATCTAGCCAGCCTCCCTAAAATTCAAATACATAAAACTATATTTTTGCATTATTGCAACTTAATCCGTTTGTGAAATTTTTTTGTCAGAATATAACATAAATTTAGGAAATTGGATTCATATACAATAAAAGTAACTCAGTTCCTTTGATGATAGAGAAACATACTGTTAACTACCTTTATCATGTTTAGGTTAAACTACATGTATAATGTAGTAGCAAAAATTGTTCATTGAATAGCTAAATGAGAAAAAATATTGGACTGCTCACTTTAAAACTGTTCACATACATTAAAATGCATCCAAATGATGATTTAAGAACTGAATTTTTCTACAAAAGAAATGACTTCAATTGTTTCCATTTTTATGAAGCAACATTCAACATTGACCAAGCAGCACCTGCATACCAATTATGCATTTTGATATGATTTACCAGGGCTAGTGTTTTCTGTCACTATTTACTTGATAGAGTTGCTGCTTATAATCACAAGAAAGCAATTTAACCCAAAACCCCAAAACAATGGTGTCACAGCTGTTGATTAGTTTAACAGTCTATATATATATTTATATATATATATAGGTTTGAACGTTGTTTTCAATTTAGACTTGTTTATATATATATATATATATATATATATATATAGCTACCCACCTAAATCAGTGAAAAACCAAAAAATATAATCAAGTGTTTTAAGATATATACAGCAAGAATTAATTACCACTCTTTCCAGTATTTGGTCATTAGCATCAATCAGTACATCAAACTTATCTTCAAGGTCAACAGCACTGCTACTGCCTGTCAGATTTCCCTTCACACTCTGATATTTCAGTATACTCTGGATTCTGTAAATAAAAAAAAACAATCATTTATTTCTTAAATCTTGAAACAGAATACCAAACTGAAAACTGTAAAATTACTACCATTTATAAACTGGCAAATTCTTTGAGGATTCCATTGCTCATATGATGAGAAAAGACCACATTGATTTGTACTACTGTGGAAGTGTGGATTCATTATTATTCGTAGAAATACTCATTTAAGTGGATTTCTAACAACAAATCTTAATGTCCAACGAAGTACGATTTTCTATAGGCTTGTATGCAGAGTTTGGCAAAACCAGGAAATAAAATGACACTTATTTTATATACATTCTTACATGTTAAGAATTCTGTTGCCTTCAATATCCAACACTTCTCTGACACCTTGATAACTAGAGTAATAATCAAAGTCATCTCCTGTTGCTGGTAAATCATTGGAACACTTGGTGGCTAGTAAAGCTGTCTTCAGTGCTTGCTGGAAATATATAAATCAAATATATGAAAGCAGTTATTTAGGATGGTGTTATGATGACAGTCGATTTCAAATTTTATATATTTGAAATTTTCCCTATAGATGTTCCCTGCCGTGTATCCCAAACTCTGTCTGACAGACAAAATGTCAGACAAAAAATCATTCCTTCAGACAGAAATTTTTAGATTTTTTAGTTGAAAATATATAGAAGAAAAGATCAAATTTCTTTTTTTGGCAATGGTATTGTTTCTTTTACATGCGACTATAATTAATAATTGTTCTATGACTCTCAGTAGTAAAAGTTATACAAGTGTTTTTTAGTTACTTGTACATGTAATCTATTTTAGATAAAGAATAATATCCCTTAAAAATTCTGATTATTTTTAACTTTAATATTTACAAGTTTTCAGACAGGAGGGGGTGGGGTGACCCCCAGGGACTTCCCCTATATTTCATTTGATTTGTTTTATTGTCCCATTCAACAATATATATGGTTTAGGGGTTGGGATCTCGACCATTTACAAGTTTTCAAACAGGAGGGGTAGGGGGTGAACCCCAGGGACCTCCCCAACATATCATTTGATTTGTTAAATTGACCCATACAAGAATATATATGGTTTAGGGATGGGGATCTCTACCGTTTACAAAATATAAGAACATTCGCAAATGGCAGGGGGTGGGGTAAACCTGGAGACTAGCCCGGTATATTTCATTCAAATCAATTTGACATTATAAAGAGGAATAGAGAAATGACAGGGATAGGGGTGATCCCTGGAGACTTGCCCTACATTTCATTTGATTTGTTTTATCATGTCCCATGATCATAACTGCAGACCCAGTGTGTGCATCACTTATTGTTCTCAAGTTATAATCATTTTAAAAATAAAAAAAAAACCTTGGGTTCTTTAGTTAAACCCCCTCCCTTCCTTTTTCTTTTTATAAAATTATTTCCATTTTCGTTTCATTATCATATCAATATTCACAATGATCGTTTTTCTCATTGGGAGAAACGAATCGGAAAGGTTAAAAAATCAATTCGTGATTGAGTTTAAAAATAGAATCAAAGCACGAAAGCGCTGTAAAGGCAGTTAATTACAGGTTGTGTGTATTTTAAGTCCAGTTATATCATTATCTTGCATAGTACAGTGTACTTATCAGAGGTGGCTTTCAGTATTTAAGATTTAGAGTTCTCTAATGATATTGAATAAGTTTTATGAATGTCATATTCTGAGCACTATATGAAGGCGATTGTTCTCACTTGTTTATGAACTAGTGCATTATGTCCAGTTTGTACCTTTTTTATCTATGTTTATAGTCAAATTAGTTATCAAAGTACCAGGATTATAATTTAATACGCCAGACGTGTGTTTCGTCTACATAAGACTCATCAGTGACGTTCAGATCAAAATAGTAACAAAGCCAAACAAGTACAAAGTTGAAGAGCATTGAGGACCCAAAATTCCAAAAAGTTGTGCCAAATACGGCTAAGGTAATCTATTCCTTGGATAAGAAAATCCTTAGTTTTTTCATTGGCAATCATAACACATCTCCTTATTTATATAATGATCTATATTCAACGACCTCAGGTACAAAAAAAATGTATGTAACTAAACTATGATGGGAAACCTTTGACTTCTTTCTTTATATAAACTTTTGATTTGGTACCATAGAACTATGTAGAGTAAATGTACATTGCAACATGTCAACTCTTTCAACTCCAAGCAAAATTATATTTCCAAGCATAAAGTAATTTATGAATAAAATAAAATGCTCCGCTGGGGCGCAGCTTGATACGACCGCAGAGGTCTAACCCTGAACAGTTGGGGCAAGTATGAACACAACATTCAAGCTTGATTCAGCACTGAATTTGGATTGTAATTAAATATTTGACACAGCATAGGTTTCTCACACAGAATGAAAGTGGTCTAAGAACTTAAACATTTTTAATTTACCTATTCAAACCATATCATTATTATTTGCTTTTATATATAAATCAGAAATAACCAATTTAAAATGGAAAATTTTAAAGAAAAAAAAGGAAAAAGAATCCCCCCCCCAAATTTTTTGAACCCCCTTATGATTCATTACCCCAAAACTCAATCCCAGCCTTCCCTTTGTGGTATGGTACCTTGCAGTACAATTTCAGAGAGATCCATACACTTGAACACATGTTATTGTCTGGAAACTAGAAAAATGCTTGTTTTTTGGCCCCTTTTTGGTCCCAAATTCCTAAACGTTTAGGGCAATTACCCCAAACTCAAACCCAACTTTCCCTTTGTGATATGGAACCTTGTAGTACAATTTCATAAAGATCCATACACTGACACACAAGTTATTGCCATGAAACTAGAAAAATGCTTGTTTTTTGCCCCTTTTTGGCCCCTAATTCCTAAAATTTGGAGGCAATTACCCCCAAAATCAATCCCAGCATTCCCTTTGTGATATGGAACCATGTGATACAATGTCAGAGAGATCAATAGACTTACACACAAGTTATTGTCATGAAACTAGAAAAATGCTTGTTTTTTGCCCCTTTTTGGCCCCTAATTCCTAAAATTTGGAGGCAATTACCCCTAAAATCAATCCCAGCATTCCCTTTGTGGTATGGTACCTTGCAGTACAATTTCAGAGAGATCCATACACTTGAACACAAGTTATTGTCTGGAAACTAGAAAAATGCTTATTTTTGGCCCCTTATTCCTAAACTTTTTGGGCAATTACCCCCAAACTCAATTCCAGCTATCCCTTTGTGATATGGAACCTTGTAGTACAATTTCATAAAGATCCATACACTTACACACAAGTTATTGCCATGAACCTAGAAAAATGCTTGTTTTTTGCCCCTTTTTGGCCCCTAATTCCTAACATTTGGAGGCAATTACCCCCAAATTCAATCCCAGCATTCCCTTTGTGATATGGAACCTTGTGATACAATGTCAGAGATATCCATAGACTTGCACACAGGTTATTGTCATGAAACTAGAAAAATGCTTGTTTTTTGCCCCTTTTTGGCCCCTAATTCCTAAAATTTGGAGGCAATTACCCCCAAAAATCAATCCCAGCATTCCCTTTGTGGTATGGTACCTTGCAGTACAATTTCAGAGAGATCCATACACTTGAACACAAGTTATTGTCTGGAAACTAGAAAAATGCTTATTTTTGGCCCCTTATTCCTAAACTTTTTGGGCAATTACCCCCAAACTCAATTCCAGCTATCCCTTTGTGATATGGAACCTTGTAGTACAATTTCATAAAGATCCATACACTTACACACAAATTATTGCCATGAACCTAGAAAAATGCTTGTTTTTTGCCCCTTTTTGGCCCCTAATTCCTAAAATTTGGAGGCAATTACCCCCAAATTCAATCCCAGCATTCCCTTTGTGATATGGAACCTTGTGATACAATGTCAGAGATATCCATAGACTTGCACACAGGTTATTGTCATGAAACTAGAAAAATGCTTGTTTTTTGCCCCTTTTTGGCCCCTAATTCCTAAAATTTGGAGGCAATTACCCCCAAAAATCAATCCCAGCATTCCCTTTGTGGTATGGTACCTTGCAGTACAATTTCAGAGAGATCCATACACTTGAACACAAGTTATTGTCTGGAAACTAGAAAAATGCTTATTTTTGGCCCCTTATTCCTAAACTTTTTGGGCAATTACCCCCAAACTCAATTCCAGCTATCCCTTTGTGATATGGAACCTTGTAGTACAATTTCATAAAGATCCATACACTTACACACAAGTTATTGCCATGAACCTAGAAAAATGCTTGTTTTTTGCCCCTTTTTGGCCCCTAATTCCTAACATTTGGAGGCAATTACCCCCAAATTCAATCCCAGCATTCCCTTTGTGATATGGAACCTTGTGATACAATGTCAGAGATATCCATAGACTTGCACACAGGTTATTGTCATGAAACTAGAAAAATGCTTGTTTTTTGCCCCTTTTTGGCCCCTAATTCCTAAAATTTGGAGGCAATTACCCCCAAAAATCAATCCCAGCATTCCCTTTGTGATATGGAACCTTGTGGTACAATGTCAGAGAGATCCATACACTTACACACTAGTTATGTCTGGAAGTTACAAAAATGCTTATTTTTGGTCCCTTTTTGGCCCCTAATTCCTTAACTGTAGGTACCATAACCCCAAAAATCAATCCCCACTTTCCTTTTGTGGTATTGAACCTTATTTTAAAATTTCATTGAGATCCATTCACTTAAACTAAAGTTAGAGTGCGAAAACTAATGTGTCTTCGGACGACGACAACGACGACGACGCCAACGTCATACCAATATACGACCACAAAAATTTTTTTTCGGTCGTATAAAAAGGAGTTCTTAATGAAGAAATAAACTGATTCGCTGAGCGCAGCTGGATACACCCGCAGAGGTACTACCCTGAACAGCTGGGGCAAAAATGGACACAATATTCAAGCTTGATACAGGTCTGAATTTGGATTGTAATTAAATATTTGACATATTATAGTTTCTGAATAAATGTAGTCAATGAACTTGAAATCGGTTATATGAATTGAATTTATATTCAATTAAAGATTTCTTGCTGTTGTGCAATACACTGTGCTGTTGTGCAATACTTAATAAATCTGTTGCCAGACTATAAACAAATAAAGTTCAATTTCTTCTCAATGTCATATTCGAAATTTATGAAAATCAATAGGGAGATTACATCAATAGCTATAAATAATTCACCAAAGTTTCATGTGAACTGCTTAAAGCATTTTTGAGTTGTTGTCCAAAAACTGGAAAATCCCCACTTTTTTAATGAATAAAACCCCATAACTCAGAAATGTAAAATCTAAAATTTATAAAATTCTAAAGGGAGCTTACGGATTGATAATTTAGTCTTAAATGCAAGATTTTTTTATCAGTTGTTAGTGGCTTTGAACTAGCTGTCAGTAACTGAGAGTACTCTCAGATTTGTACTTAGTGTCTTTTTGTTGTTTGGATGTACAACTACCCGACCACGTCCACTTGTAT